GTCCATAGATGATGGGATCACCTCTCATGAGGCAACCACATCTTCAGAAATGGTGTCATTACGTCCAAATGTGGGGAAGAAACGTAAAGCAGCACCAGATGCTGATGAAGTGAAGAGCAAGAAGAAGTCCAAGAAAGTCAAGAAGGCTCTTGAAATATCTGCTGTAGTTTTAGATTCCGATATGCCTAGTAAGCAGGTTGATGAACCAAAAGATTCAAAATTATGCGAGAGTGTTGTTGATCTTGTGCAGAAGCCAATAAGCAGGAGCAAGATGGGAGGCAAAGTTTCCATTACTGCTATGCCTGTAAAGCAGGTCTTCATGATAAAACCAGAGAAGTTTAAAAAGAAGGGTACTATTTGGTCTAGAGATTGTTTTCCTTCGCCAGATTCTTGGTTGCCTCAGGAGGATGCAATGTTGTGTGCTATTGTACATGAATATGGCCCACATTGGAGTTTGGTGAGTGAGACTTTGTATGGGATGACTGCTGGTGGTTTTTATAGAGGAAGATATCGGCATCCTGTCCACTGTTGTGAGAGGTTTAGGGATCTTGTCCAAAGATATGTCTTGTCTGCAGCAGAAAATCCTAACAATGAAAAAACCGTCAATGCTGTCTCTGGAAAGGCTCTTCTCAAAGTGACAGAGGTAAGCTTGATGTAGCCTATTATTCCCCACCAATGAAGTGAAAACAAACAAAAGATGCAAGATTGGTAACATGGAACATGAGTTTTGACTTGCAAATCATTATTACAAAGCATACTTGCTAACAATTGTTAGCCTGTGACTTGGTTTAGAGTGGTTCTCTGTTTTTTTATATTGTTTGGTGGGTGCTTAGACCTAGTTCACTAGCAGTCATGTATACATAACCTGTACTCCTGTTCTAATGGAAAATATAAATTAACCATTGCAATCACTGCTGTGAAGTTTCTGGCTGTGAGTCTGAATGAATTTTGGACCCAAATTTGTTATTGTACAGGAAACTAACTACCCAAAGCTAGACCCGTGAACCCAGCCCATAAGGTGGCCTCCCTTCCCTCGAACTTCATTCCCCCAGTGGGCACCCTACCTTCCGTCCTTTGGTTAGAGGCAGGAAATTCTACTTGCTCTGAGCTGATGGTATTGGCCACATATAAACTCACCTTCGTATATGTACCTATACTGTAGTAACAATCTGGATCACGAAAATCCATCCCGTCAAATCGAGAACTGATTATTTGGTTTTGCTTGGTTCTCTGACATCATAAACAGTTTTGTAAAATTGTGGCTTATCTGCATGCTTGGATGTAAGATCGCAGCCTTCTAAAATCTATTTCAGTACCTATGCTGAGTCAATACTTCCATGGTAACTATAGACACCCTATGTTTACTTTGTAATTGTCTCAGCTCGACATTTTCCAGCCATACTATCTACCCAAATGGATTTTAAACTTACATTCTATCCTAGTATAATGGACAGTTCACTCTGTGGTTCTTGAATTTGTCCACTCAACAACCTAAATGTCACCATGGGATGATTTCCAACAAGAGATTTCCTGTAGCATTCCAGACTTTCCTTGGGTTTTCTGTCATACCTATTAAAATTGTAATTTTGTTGGCAGTATTTTAAATTTCCTGGAGTTCACTCACCCTTCTCTGATGAGTTGTATGTTTTTGCTCTAGTTTTTGATTTGGCTCCTTGAGTTTTGTATTGTTTTGTGATTTGCTCAAGTCAACTAGAATTTCTGATTCGGTTTGCCACTCTGTAGAAAAAACACATTAGATCATCTTCTATTTTTTTGGTTATTATTATCTAAATTGCTTATAAAAGTTACTATCATCTAGGATTTATCTATGGTGGTGTTTGGGAAGTTTGTGTGTTGGATTTTTTTGATTTTTTTCACTAAAAGACATACTTTTTGCAAAACAAAAAAAAAAAACAAATCCAAACAAAATATCACATCCAACCCCATAATCATTTCACTTTTTCTCTCACAAACATCACATCCAACCACAAAAAAACCCAACTATCTTCCCAAACACCAAAATTTTTTTCTTCAATAGTATCCTACAACTAAAAAAACCTACATAAAAACCCACTTCCCAAACACCCACTATGTTGATCTGATATTTTGGATCCAGTTACTGGATATGCCATGAGATTCATAATCCAGTAGCCATATGGTGAGAGCAGCTTATGCTGCTCTGGGGGCAGGGTTTGATTGTCCATGGCACCCAGGCTTCTTTAGATGCTTGTACATGGCCGTGCTGCAGCCTAAAAGGTACTTTGCTGTACCTGCAGCCTTTCAAAGGACACATTCAATCAGCCATCAATATATATGTAGTTTTTGGAAACCTGATTGTCATGTTATTTGTTAGAAATCTTTTCTGTTTCAATATTTTGTATTAGAATTTACAATAATGAGCTACTCTACTCGTTTGTGGTAGGATAATATTCGTGTGCTGTTGGATGTTGCCACTGAACTGCCTGATAATGAGTCACTTCTTCAGAAGCACTTCTTTGCACTGCTTGGTTCATTCTGGAGAATGACATCCCGCCTTGATCGCCGTCAGAGTTTTTCATCTTCCCGGAATGGCTTCCATACTGGTGGAAGCCATTCCACTTCCGTGGTCAGCCAGATTGGTCTGAATTCCACAAGGTGGCCATCAGAGAAGATGAAATTCACTAATTTAAGTCAATGTAGCAAGTTAGTAGCAGCTGCACTCTGTGATGCGAACAGTGCACGACAGGATGGAGTCTTGATTTTGAACCCGAGAGAAGAAACTCCAGCAGTTGTGGACCAGTTGGAGATTACTCTGGAACTTCAGAGAGAAAGAGGCGACTCTATGATTCCTTTGCCATCTGTTATAAATCTCTCAATATGTGGCCCGGATCCACCTGCTGCTGCAAGCATGCCTGCAGGAGCAAATCAGCATCTTAGATCTTCCCAAAGTATGGCTGAGAGCCGTTTCAGGTATGACTTCATGCCCTACAATTCACTTTCTTTTAGCTTAACAGTTTACTTCTGTATTTTCTGGACTCGATTATTCATTCTCATGGCCCTTTTCATGGTCAGAACGAAAGAATTGATTTCTCTTTTTCAATTTTTTTGTTATTTTTTATTTATTTTTCATTGTTGGTAAGTGTATATGATGAGACAAACAGATCTTTAAGGGCATAGTTGGTTCTTTTTTCCATTTTGACCTTCAGTGTCCAATCATGAACTTCCAATATGATATTTGAAGCATCAATTTTCCTTGGGTTCATTCATTTTGGAATCCTCTGGACATCACAACTGAAATCAGTTCTGTTTCCCCTTCTGTTGAAATTTGAATCATTTAAGTATGGACCCGTTCTAACAATAACGAATCAGCTCTTTTGCTTAATGCTCATAAATGTCTCATCATGGTGGCCTTGCTCTTAACAATAACGAATCAGCTCTTTTGCTTAATGCTCATAAATGTCTCATCATGGTGGCCTTGCTCTAGTCAATAAGATTCCTGATGCCCAAGCTCCCTTCTGCTTTAGGGTGACAGAGGTTATACAATTGAAAGTTAGCTCCTTTCAGCTCCAGTCCATAGAAAGGCTGAGATAATCTTTTCTTTTTAACACTCGAGGGTGAACCACCAGTGTGTTTGAATTCCAAAGAGCACATATTGTAATTTCCTTGCTGATGTTAACACATTTGCAACCCAGTTCCTAAGAAGATAATCTTCTTTTTCCATCTACCCACCAAATCCTTGAACTCTTCTTTTTTGGTTCGATAAAAAGAGGACACGAGGCGACCAGTGCATGGCAACCCTCCCTAGGCATGATCAAAGAAGCCCCAACCTGCTTGGAAGCTTGATAGGAGTCTAGACAGACCTGGCAATGTAGGGTACAACAACACGGGGGACCTACGGTCTCTCTCTCAAGAAGGATTTGAGCCATAGTCTAGCTCTAGCCCCACTGAGGGCGTCGTGGCGAGGAGCCAGTGGCCAAGGATTAATAGGAAAGAGTCTTGCCCTCGACTGTCGCCCCAGGAGACTCAAACTCATGTCTTCTTGATCACCAAACCACATAATGCGCCCCTTTTCCCTAAAAGCCCCCCCCCCCAACCACACACCCACACACACACACACCAAGTCTCCACCCTTGGGGTGGTAAATCCTTTGTCTTAAACTTTTAATTGTAGTACCTGTATTGCAGAGTTTTGACTCTATTGTTCTAGATGACAAATGTGGTTGTGGTTGTCAGCTTGTTGTATTGATGAGGGTCTGATTCAACTTCTCTATTTTGTATATATTGTAGTTCTTTGTATACAATAAATATTACTTGACCACAAAAAAGAAAAATAAAGAAAGAATGTCGGTAGATCTTTCAAAGGACATTTTCTGATGTTACTAGCAACTAATGTGATAGTATGCCACAAGAAGTTCATTACAATGCATGTAATTTTTTTGCCTGGAGAGGATCTCTTTCATATTTTGATGTTTTCTTTTCTCAGGACTGCATCAGGAGCTTGTATTGAAGGTTCTTTGGGTTGGGCTTCATCAGCCTTCCCAACAGGTGATATCAAGTATCGAACAGCATCAAAATCACCGTCCTTGGGAAAACACAAGTTGCCCATATGTGAGTCAGTCAAGCCTTCCAAATCAAAAGCGAGAAAAACTAATATGGTGTCTACTGATCAGCGTCACAGCTTAGTTGCTGATCCAGTGGTCCAACCAATGCTCACTGTACCCAACGATTCTAGTACGAGGTTTGATCTTCCTGATCCCGGAATGGGAATGAGAATGGATGCTTTTGATAGTAGTTCTACCTTTGACATGGACGAGGTCTCTTTTTTGGAGACGCAGGATTTTGATCTTTTCCCACATGACTACGTTCCTTGGTTAATCTCAGAACTAGATGAATGTTCTCCATCTTTGCCTGAATTCACGGATATTGGGTAGGTTTGAACTTGAAAACGTGAACCCACTTTATTTGGGTTTAAATGTTGTCATAAATTTTGAAGAGCAGGCATACTCTCTCTGCAAATGGTGTACCTGGTCAGTGAAAGTATCGAATACTCCAGACTAGACTTGGGAATCATTAGGTGCTGTCGGGTGCATGGGAAATCAGGAGGTAAGATGTGTTTGGGCTTTTGGAGTGAAGTGGAGGCTAAGAGTAAGGCTGAGTGTAACCAACTATTACACGTGGTTGAGTGTGGTCGTGGTTTCTGCATATGGGGGATGTGAGGTGTGTGACCTTGAAGAGCCAGGGGGGATGATGATAGATAACAGGGAAACACAATGTATAGATTAGTGTAGTAAGGAAAGTGGCTCTTGATCTTTGTTCAATTGCCTTGTAGGAAATCTGTGCTTATGATTTTTTTTAGCCGGTTGAGGACTGGTCTTTATTTTTGACACATTTGCTTCATAGAAGTAGAATAGGAGAAGGAAGATGGTTATAAATGAAAAAAATTTCAAAATTCAAATTTCAACTGTCCTCTCTCTCTCTCTCTCTCTCTCTCTCTCACAAATTTTGCAACAGGAGATCTTTGTTTTACACAATAGTAATGCTAGAGGTACAACTGAGTCCTCATGTTGTGTAGCCTTCCAAATGTTAAATCAATGGGTCCAACACTGTTTCGCTGAATTGAAATCTCCTCGGTGTAAATTTTAGATGTTGTATTAGTTGATGTGAGATGTGATAGATAAGAGAAGGGTGAAATGATTTGCGTGCTCACTGTGATAAAATGGATTTTACTCATTTTCTTAATAATGATTTCGGTCTTTTATATTTGTATTTTGTAACCATTTTTTTAAATGACAAATACAAATTTTGTAGTTTATTGAATCTTTGGCCAGAAGTAAAAAAGAAACTAATCTGAAAATGTGGTCTGCACTAGGGTTCGCATTGAAATTGATTAGGGCTCTGTAATATCTGGATGACTTTCTATACCCTGTGATGCTTGACCTTATTTTGCTACGTGGTAAATTGTTTCGATTTGATTTGATTTGATTTGTCTCTTCTCTTTTTCAAGATGTTTATGGTCTCGTCCTGACCACAAAGTAGATTAGAGAGAAGTCCATTCCATTTTTCAAAGCAGGTTACGTTGAATTCATTCTGATCAGGATTTACTCATTATTTAAAGTAGGGTTTTTTTTTTTTAAAATGTCAATCAATGCTTTGTTTTCCTTAGAAATCAATCTGAACTTGCCTAGAATTTTCTTCCTGGCCAAATTTATTGACAAATTTCTTCCATTACAGATTGAACATGTTTCTTTTTTGGTGGTTTGATTAAATTTGAAAAATCTATTGAAATTTCAAAATCATTTTCATTTTTGGAATCCAGACCATTAACTTGAAGCACAAGAAGATGAGTGAAATCTAAGTTCATTTCATTGATTGGATCGGAAATAACAAAATCATACTCAAACTCAAAAGAAAAACTAGTGGTCAAGATCCAAACTATTACACTCAGGCTCAGACTCACTACTAGGCTTAGATGATTCATGATCCACTTTTATTTCATTTTCAAAATTCCAATTTTCTAATTTTCCGCTTGAATCCTCCATAAGTAGAGTGTAATCCAGCATGTTGACTTCTATGCTAAGCATTGCCATTTCATCTTCAATTTGATTTTTTGGGTCATTGAATGTGAACAAATTTTTCATAAAAACATCATATCAAACATCCGCCCAATCCAACAAATTCTGGAGCAGTTCGGAGTGCCACGCCTAGCATTTATCACGTTTTACTCTTGAGTAGGGCGGCCTCTTGGGGCCGGCGGATCAGTTTCTTCGTTGTCACTGCTGGATTCACTTTCTTCTTCTCGGCTTCCATCTTCTATCTTGGTAACTCGGATTGTAGGGTTGTTCATCTTTCCATTGGACCGTGCCATGATGACTTTTAGTAACTCCAAGGTAGTTTAATTGTTCACACTGTGTGCTCAACGACTTTAAAGTCTGGCCAAATCATATTCACCAATGGCTTCATCTTGTGAAAAATACTAGAAGTAACATTTGAAATCTGAATCATCAGAAACCTCAGATGGCACAGACTCTTCTACTGCTTGTTGCATGTTTTCAAAGTCAAACAACTCATCCTCCTCATTGCAAACTATGCTTGAGTTTCAAAAATCTTTTGAAAAAATTCCTCTTTTTTCACCTTACAATTTAAAGGAGTGTAATTTTCATTGGAAAAACGAGTTTATAGGGAAATGATTTTCCCTTCAAACAATTTTTTTTGATAATTAACTGAGAAATTATTCAATGCTCCTGGCACAATACTCTATTCCATTTACAGTACTAGTACGAAATCCAATGTGAGAATTTTCAACAATTAATACATGTATGTGTGTGTGTGTGTGTGTGTGTGTGTCACAGAGAGAGAGAGAGAGATTTGCTTCATCTTCAATTTAGAAAACAATGCCTACGTAAGCCATGAAAAATCATAAATTAGACATGACAAACTTCTTGTCCCAAAAACTAAAAAATAAAAATTAAAGACAAGCTAGTTTATTTTCATCCAAAAATAAGAAAGAAAAAGAGGAAAAACTGAAATTAATAATAGGGGTAGACCGGCCAAAAAACAAAAAAAATAAAAGATATTAAAATTTAGGATATTTTGGATCTACAAAGGCAAGATACATGGGGTCATTGAGCCAAAGTTTAGCAAGAAAATCACAAGATGTGTGACCCCTATGGATTTCTTCCATGAGCCATATGGTTGCTTCAGCTTTAGCAGGATGCAGAAAGTTGTCCATTGGGATTTGTTCTTCCTCAGTGTTGATCCTTGCTTTGTCCCATTGTTTCAGCTGAACATTAGTGAGGTAATGCAAGGGTTGCTTATATAACTGTTTCAAAGATTTGGCTAGTTGTTGCCATGTATTGAAAGGGATAATCGACCCACGGAGTGTTGGAATTTCGATCTGTTTCATGTATTCTTGATACAATTCTGCATGTTTCAGCAAAGCATCTGCATTACAATACACAACTCTAAATAGTTTTTACAGTTTACAATATGATGATAATATAGTCAATTGAGATATAAAACTAGCTTGTGGGTAAAAAAATAAGTTATAATTCTTATAATCCGTATTCAATTTTAATTGATAACATATATGTAGGTCATCAAAATTAGAGTTTAAAAATAAAAAGGGGCATTCTAGTGGATAAGGCTCCTAACACTGCAAGTATGGGCAACGCCATAAATTTTTTTCTAACGACGGAAAATCTTAATATATGATTTTTTTTTTTTACTATTTCACAAAATATAGGCGAGAGAGAGAGAGGAAAATAAAACAAATGGTTAAAGTAGAAGGACAATAAAAATGGTGGATGAATAAAATCAGAGTAACTTCTAAATCATGAATAAAATTTAGCATTTTTCAAATCCTCGTGAGGGGTAATTTTGATTTTTTTTTTTTGACAAAACTGTAGGAAATAACGTTATTTTCCAAAAGTTAGTGGTGCTAACTACTCCCACTAGCAACTTCAAATGGATTAATCAATGACTCCAAGATCTAGAAACGGTTAGATATGTGTAGCTTTACCTTGTATGCGTAGATACTTCTACCATGTTTTGAAAAGTAATGACTAGGTCAAAATGGAACAACCTTAAAAAATAGAGTTGAAAAAAAAAAAAAAAAAAGAAGAAGAAAAAACAGATGTCAAAATGCTAACTGAGTGTACATACAATGGAGTTTTTACTCCTTTTGGTATGTATTGAAATGGATCCTAATTTAGGAAGGGGACAAAGTTGCTTCAAGGGTACATATCCATTTGCACACCATGTTTGATATTTTAAATTGAATGTGACCTTTGATGAAGAAGCATGTAAATGGAAAGGCTCAAAACTTCAACAATAATTTATACACAAAATGAAAGAGAGGGGGACAAACCTAAATCTTCTTTCCATTCCTTCACGCTTTTCGCTAGGAGTTCCTCTTTGACACATTTTCCTTTTTCATTTTTGTAAGATACTGCTTGAGCATTCAGGTCATCAGATTCTGTATCTGAATCTAACGCTAAAGGTATATGTGTTTGCAACATTTTAATTTACACTGAAAGATTGTTAAAGAGAGAGAGAGAAAAGAGAGAGACTGGAAAGACAGATTTGTATAATCACTATCTATTATTATGTTTGTGTGTAAATACAAGAGAATGAGCCCTCTCTCTTTATAGAGAGGAGAGGGAGACAATTGGAATACTGAAGCACCAAAAGCATACAAATATACATTAAAATAATACAAAGGCGTCTGTCAAAGCTGAAGGTGGTAGTGGGTGAGCTCTTTACAGCTTACAAATGCCAGCCTACAAATGCACTATAGTGTATAGTATATTATATTGTTAACAGCCCCCCGCAAACTCAAGGAGGGTAGGAACTAACCAACTTGAGTTTGGAGAGAGTAACAAAACAGGAAAGTAAACTGATAAATAAAATAAAATAGGATAGGAGACACTGTATGGTCGTGTCGAACCGTTGGTGAAGACACTGTATGGTCGTGTCAAATCGTTGTAGCAGCTAACCGGAATATATGTCGGGACAGTTTACGGGGTCATGCCGGACCGATGTAGAAAATCGTTGTAGTAGCTAACCGGAATCAATGTCGGGACAGTTTACGGGGTCATACCGGACCGTTGTAGAAGCTGACCGGAATCAATGTCGGGACAGTTTATGGGGTCATGCCGGACCGTTGTATAAGCTTGTGGTGGTGCACCAAGGGGGCGACTTAGAGAGTGCGCCATGGGGTGGCTTGAGTGGTTCCCATGGTGTATAACCATACTCACCAGCTTGAGTGGTTCGCATGGTGTGTAACCATGCTCACCATGATATATGTATAACCCCCCCTCAAACTCAAATAGGTGTGAAGATAGAAACCTATTTGAGGTTGAAACAAAGGGATTGATAAAGTTGTTTTGGTTTTTTTTTTTTTTTTTTTTTTTTTTTTTTTTTTTTTTTTTTTTTTTTTTTTTTTTTTTTTTTTTTTTTGATGTAGAATGGTGAGCGGGGTGAATCCTGATATGAATAAAATAAAGGGTTGATGAAAGGATGAGTATGGGGATGAAGAATACAATTTATTATAGTATATTATATTATATATATATATATATATATATTAGATGGTCAGGGGCAATTCGGTGGGTGGCCAAACAATGATGACAAAATGTAGTGGATGACAAAATGAAAATAAAAAGAAAGGAAAAGGGAGGGTTTAAAGTGAGAGAGAGAGAAAATGTCAGAGTAGTTGAATACTCAAACAATTCACGCTGCACCTAGGTGGGGTGGTATGGCGTATGATAATATATTATAATGGTGTGAAAGATTGTGCTACAGCTGGGTTTGCATAAAGCTGTGGTGAATGGGCTGCTACCGTGTGGGTTGAGTGGTGAAGGGGCTGCTGCCGTGTGTGTTCAGTGTGTGTATGGTGTATGGTGTGTGTATACTAATGTGTGTGTGTGCCTCGTGTATGTGTGTGTGGGTGCCCCGTGTATGTGTGCCCAGCTTCCCCCCCTCAAAATGCAACCCGGGAGAGAGAGATAAGAGACCCAGAGAGAGAGAGCCTTTTTTTTTTTTTGCATGTGTTGTTCTCTCTGGAAAACCGTGTGTGTGTGTTGTAGTGTCATGCATGTGTTAATAGTGTGAAGAATTGGTGCGAGAATGGAAGACAGAGGAAGAGAGTTGGATGGAGTGGTTTCAACCCGCACCCAGTTTTACTTTTGCCATTTTCTTGTATCAAGAAGCTGCAGCTTAGTCAGAAAAAATATTTTTGAGAGAGAGCCCATGCGAGAGAGAGCCGGAAGAGAGAGTTGCCGAGAGAGAGAGAGCTGCCATGCATATGTGTGTGTATGCCGAGAGGGAGAGGTGATGGGTGTGTATGTGAGCTGCTGGGTGTATGGCAGTGATGGGTGTGTGTGTGCCGTGAGTGTGTATCAGTGTGTATCAGTGAAGCTCAGTGTGAGTGTGATGAAGCATGGATACATATGTGTGTGTGCTGTATGTGTGTGTGTGTGCTGGGTTTGTGTTAGAGAGAGAAGAGAGAGAATAACAGTTTAGGTCCTTTTGGTATGTATTGAAATGGATCCTAATTTAGGAAGGGGACAAAGTTGCTTCAAGGGTACATATCCATTTGCACACCATGTTTGATATTTTAAATTGAATGTGACCTTTGATGAAGAAGCATGTAAATGGAAAGGCTCAAAACTTCAACAATAATTTATACACAAAATGAAAGAGAGGGGGACAAACCTAAATCTTCTTTCCATTCCTTCACGCTTTTCGCTAGGAGTTCCTCTTTGACACATTTTCCTTTTTCATTTTTGTAAGATACTGCTTGAGCATTCAGGTCATCAGATTCTGTATCTGAATCTAACGCTAAAGGTATATGTGTTTGCAACATTTTAATTTACAATGAAAGATTGTTAAAGAGAGAGAGAGAAAAGAGAGAGACTGGAAAGACAGATTTGTATAATCACTATCTGTTATTATGTTTGTGTGTAAATACAAGAGAATGAGCCCTCTCTCTTTATAGAGAGGAGAGGGAGACAATTGGAATACTGAAGCACCGAAAGCATACAAATATACATTAAAATAATACAAAGGCGTCTGTCAAAGCTGAAGGTGGTAGTGGGTGAGCTCTTTACAGCTTACAAATGCCAGCCTACAAATGCACTATAGTGTATAGTATATTATATTGTTAACATACACTAGAGGATAGGAAAGGGGGGGGGGGGTCATAAGTTGGTCCATTATTTTTATACTCTTAAGTAATAACATGGTTTAGGAAAAAAAAGTAATTTGTATGTTGAAATTGACTTAATGTATTATGTGTAAATCTACTAAATGAAAATAGATACGTATTACCAGTCTATTTTGTTTGGGGGGACATTTGTTAATGAGAATGCATTTAATTCGAACAATATGATGTAAATTTAAATGCTTTTAAAAGTTTATGACTCGTAATAGCTGTGTAAGAGTTACTAATTTTTGGATGATGTGAAAGTAAATTGCTCCCCAAATTATTTGTTTATATAAATAAATGAATTAAGTTGGAAAAACTAATGGTGGATGAATAAAATTAAGGTAATTTTTAAATCATGAATAAAATTTAGCATTTTCCAAACCCTTGTGAGGGGTAATTTTGACTTTTTCTTTTTACAAAACAGTAAGTAAAAAGGTTATTTTTCTCAAAAGTTAGTGGTGCCAACTACCCCCCTTAGCCATTCTAATGGGTTAATAAGGAGGGCTGCTACTCACAACTATTTTATTTCTTTGGACCCCCTTTTTTCTATTTTTTTAATTCTAATTTTGTCCAAAGATAAAATTCCATTTATACTCTAATCATTGCTGTTGGGTTGATGGATCGCCGCTATCATCATTGCAAAGAGTGTGTGAGAGAGAGAGAGAGTCGTGAAGAAGAAGAAGAAGAAGAAGAAGAGAAGAGAAAGAGAGAGAGAGCTGACCCATCGCCATTGCAATCCACCTTGTCATCACCGTCACCACCATCGTAGCCCACCACTATCACGATTTCCACTTTCAAACCTAGGGTTTTGAGGAAAGAAAAAAAGAAGACACCCAACCCTCCAAACCCTACTCAAAATCTAGGGTTTTGCATCATTGGTGGTGACGAGGTGGTGGTGGTGGTGTTGTTGGGTAAAATGGAGGCTGTAGAAATGGAGAAAATGGAAGTTGGAGATGGAGAAGGGGGTGGTCGGAGATAAAGGGGGCTGTCGGAGAAAGAGAAAAGAAGAGGAGCGAGGGTGTAAAGAGGGGAGGGGTAAAGATGGAAATATGGTGGGGGGTATAAAGAAAAATATGTAAAATGTAATTTTGGATGGTGGGGGACCAAAGAAATGGGGCGTTCAAAGAAAAATATAGAGACATTTAGCAGGCCTCTTAATCAATGACTCTAGGGTCTAGAAATAGTTGGAGATGGAGAAGGGGGTGGTCGGAGATAAAGGGGGCTGTCGGAGAAAGAGAAAAGAAGAGGAATAAGGGTGTAAAGAGGGGAGGGGTAGAGTTGGAAATATGGTTGGGGTAGAAAGAAAAATATGTAAAATGTAATTTTGGATGGTGGGGACCACAAAAATGGGGGGTTCAAAGAAAAAATATAAGAACATTTAGCAGGTCTCTTAATCAATGACTCCAGGGTCTATAAATGGTTAAATATATGTAGTTTTACCTTGCATGCATACTTTTATCATGTTTTGAAAACTAATGACTAGGTCAAAATGGAGTAGCCTTAAAATATAGAGTTAAAAAAAGAAAAAGAAAAAGAAAAACTGATGTCAAAATGTTAATTGAGTATACATACAATGGAGTTTAGGCAAGGGGATCCTAATTGAAATGGATCCTAATTTAGGCAAGGGAACAAACTTGCTTCAAGAGTATATATGCATTTGCACACCATGTTTGATATCTTAAATTGAATGTGACCTTTGAGGAAGAAACATGTAAATGGAAATGACCAAAACTTCAACAATAATTTATACACAAAATGAAAGAGAGGGGGACAAACCAAAATCTTCTTTCCATTCCTTCACGCTTTAGCTAGGAGTTCCCTCTTTAACACTTTCTCCTTTTTCATTTTTCTGAGGTACTACTCGAGCACTCAGGTCATTGGATTCTGTATTCGAATCTGATGCTGAAGGTATATGTGTTTGTAACATCTTAATTTACACTAGGGAATAGGAAAAGAGTGAGGGGCGGCATAAGTTGGTCCATTATATTTATACTGTTAAGTAATAACATGGTTTAGGAAAAAGAGTAATTTGTATGTTGAAGTTGACTTAATTTATTCTGTGTATATCTGCTAAATGATAATAGATATGTATTACCTGTCTATTTTGTTTGGGGCGACATTCCTTAATGAGAACGCATTTAATTTTTTCATTTTTAGTACAATTATTTCATTTTTTCATTATAAATTAATTAGTGTCAATTAATGGGTTAAGTAGTATCAATCAATACTAAAATTATTAATTAGTATCAATTAATATAAAATTATTTCATTAATGGCTAAAATGCTTAATTATTATTATTATTTTATTTTTATTAAAAAAACACTGAAAACCTCAAAACAAAAAAAACACTGAAATCTATCGTCGGAGAGAAAGAATAGCAGTGACGAACCAATGCCGGAGAGAGAGTTGGTTGTTGATAGTCACCATCGAAGGTACAACGGCGATGGAGGATGGGCGACGACGACGAATGGTTGATCATCACCGTCGATCGTCACGCAATCGATCGTGACTCTAGGGTTTTAGATCGCGATCGTCACGTAGTCAATGGTTAGGGTTTCGATTGCGAAGCTAGGGTTTACAACACAATGGTGGTGGTGAAGAGAGAGCAAAGAGAGAGAGAGAGAGAGAAGAGAGCTCTGGTTCATGAGTGTAAGAGAGAGGGAGAGCACTGGTTCGTGAAAGAGAGAGAGCACTAGTTCGTTGAGCGTTGAAAATTGCCTCTCTCTCCCTCTCTCTCTCTTAGAGAATGAACAATGATGCTTTGTGATTTATATAACGGCAATTTGGTAATGCTTCAAATTAGTAAAGGGCATTTAAGTAATTTTGTCTCTCAATTTTTAGTTTTCTGCTAAAGCTGAATGAGTTAAGCCCCCGGAGACCACTCAGCCAAAAATCACTTTTTTAGCTTAATTTAGGCTACAAAAAGTGATTTTAAACCCTATCAAACACACAAATTATAACTTAAATTAAGTTAAAAGTTGAAATATGTACCTTTTAAGCCACACCAAACAAGCACAAAGTAGACTGGATAAAAGCGCCGCCATATATATATATGACTTCATAAACTAATCAGTGACAATCGTGAATTTTCAAAGCCTAATCAAAGCAGCCCTTGGATTGGATCTTCGAAATACAATCATTTTGGTGTGGGGAATTGGAAAGACGATGAATGCTCCTCCTCAGTTAGAAGATTTTAAGCATCGGGTCGTGGTGGATTCGAAATACGCAGACATGACTTGGAAGAACTTGGAACATGCGATTCACGAGATATACAATCATAATACTAGTGGCCTTTGTATGGAAGATCTTTACAGGTACATTTATTAAAATTTTATTTTTTGAGATTGCAAAACGAAGATGATATGATTTCCGATTCCTTGTTTTCTGAGTTTGTGTCTGTAATTGTTGTTTTGTGAATCGTTTCATACCTTTTGAAACCAAAAAAAAGGAAATCGAAAAGAGGTTTTAGTGATTCTTTGGTTTGGGCCAAACTGTTTGTCAACATGTTCATGGCATGGGTTTTTTTTTTGGGGAATTACCTGCCAGTTGTAGCAGGGAAAAAAAATTACAAATCAGTGGCTGAGTTTCTCAAATTTCAATCCGGTGGAGTGTGAAAAAAACTGTTCCAGAGTCATACCCTCCTCTTTTGTGTCTTTCCCTGACGCTCTCTCCAGTCTCTCACGTCTGTTCATCTCTCTCTTCTTTCTTTGCTTTTCATTTTTATAAATATTATAACTTTTAGGAAATTTATCCATAAATCCCATTCCAAAAAAGTATTTATTGAAAAGTCTAATAAATTTTCTTATAAACTAATAAGTCCTATTAAATTTGAAAAAGTATATTGTGAGGTCCTTCAATTTTCTGAGACAACAAATGTGGGTATGCTTCATACGGACACTTTCATCTTATTAAACTTTTGCTAAATGTATCATTCTAATGTAATATCATTCTATTGTATGCATTATTGTCTTATAAAATTTTTGCCAAATTTTTCATTCTTCTTAAACTGTGATATTATTGTTTTATTAAACTTAAAATGTGACAATGTAACATCATTCAAATGTGTGCACTATTGTTGTCTTATTATATTGTTGTCAAATGTGACAATGGGTCTTCTTAAAATTTGACAATAGACATTTGTGCATTATTGTCTTATTAAACTTTTGTCAAATATATCATTCTTAAAATGTAACAATGAGATATCATTCTAATTTGTGCATTATTGTCTTATTACGTTTTTAAATAAGAGTATGTTTCATTTGAGAGATTTTAATGTGATATAGGACTTACGGGTTCATAAGATTATTTATGAGATTATATGGTCCATAATTCGTGAATATAAAATTTATTAGTAAATGCCCCATTTTTAGGTTATGATTTTTTTTTTCCTACTAGTCATTCAACCACAAAAACTTTATTTTGTGATTTTTTCCTCCCCCCAATTTTATTTTGCGATTTTTTTGACTTTCCCTTCTTCTCTTCATCCATTCTCTTCTCTCAAAGTCCCCTCTACTGTTGCTTCTCCTTCTCTCTATTTCTCCTCCTTCTCTACTGCTGCTTCCTTCCATCACTGTGTTTCATCATGGACCCATTGTTGGTGGTGCCCACTAGGATGTTTATGAAAAAAAATCTAAGTGATACGTGATTTAATATAGATTAAATTGTAGTAAATCTCAAACACACAAAACTAACAATCTAAATCATCTAACTCGTACAAAAGTGATTTAGATTGTTGTTTCTCAATAGATAAATCAACACAAGAGATTTAACGTGCAAAACCACAATTGAAGCACCTCCAATTGTGATAAAAAACCACGGGCCAAAGGCCACTAAACAATCCATTACGAAGATAATGAAATTACACAGGAGTACAAACAATTACCCAACTTAATCTAGTAATGTCTTCCACTCCTTGTGCCGCTTCCACCTACGCCTTCGTCTCATGATTGATTGGCATGGTGTTGATTCCACAACACCCTAATTGAATCCACAACTACGAGCTACTTTGAACTCGTTCAAGGCATCCAAACTCAACTTCTCGGAATCCACCGATGAACTCTCTTGCTAGTTGAATGGTAACAAACTACTTGATGTGTACAAATCTAATCAAATGAGATGGAAATCTCACAATGACATCAAGGAAAACAATGAAAAAACTCCCTAGCAGCAACCTCAAGTGTTCTTGAGGTTGCAATGACAGAAATGGGAGTGGCTAACCCTAAAGAACAGCATAAGATGCCTTGTATAGCAATTTTGGGCCGCACAGACAGCTTGAGTGAAGGAATGGTCACTCGAGCGGTGAGTCTAGAACGTGCGCACATAAGAGCCTTCGCTTGAGCCACCAAGTGTGCACTCGAGAAGAAAACGAGCTCTCAAAAGTTTTGCAGAGGAATTGATATACTGAGAGCAAGAAATCTTCGCTCGAGCAATGACTTGGTTGCTCGAGCGGTGAGCTTAGAATGCATGCGCACACAGAGACTTCGCTCGAGCCACCAAGTGTGTGCTTGAGCGAAGAATGTGGGTTCTCAGAAGTTTTGTAGAGAGCCTAATCTACTAAGAGCAAGGATTCTTCGCTTTAGCGACGACTTGGTCGCTCGAGCGGTCTAAGAGAAAATAGAGGACAAAACACAAGGTTTACAATTAAAAAGTGATTTCCGCGGAATTGACAACACAAGTAACCTAACAATCTCCCTCTTTGTCAATTCCCAGACAAAACACATCTAACATATTGTCCTAACAAAACACACGCTCTAGACACAAACCAAAAAACAAACCTAACCAATCTAAGCACCGTGCAAAGAGAAGCATCCTGCAAAGAAATCAAATAACACAGACACTAGAAAAGATATGTAGATGATTAGTAGCAAGATATCCAAAACCAAAACCAAAACCAAAACAAACAACATGCTATCATCTATCAACATATACTCCCCCTTTTTGTTCAGAAGAAACAAAGGGATACAGAAAACAAGAGCCAAAAGAACTAAACAAGAACGAAACAATCAAAATATGTCCAGAGAGAATAAACAATCAAAACATGGTCAGTACATAAATACAAGAAGAAACAAAAAGATATAAGCAAAAGCATGTCCAGTAGATGATAATAAAACAAAGGAAAAGAAGAAAGAAAAAAAATGTCCAAGAGAGATAAACAAATATCATTGATTCGGCGGTGGAGGAGGAGGCTGCTGCATCTGGAGCAAAGAGAGAATCTGAGCAAGCTGGAAGGAGGATTGATCCACGGCGTGCTCAATCTAGCCAATAGATGCCTCCAATGTAGTAAGGCGTGCATCGGTGGATGTCTCGAGGTCCGTGATTCGATCCGGCGGTGGAGGAGGAGGTTGCTGCATCTGGAGTAAAGAGAGAATCTGAGCAAGTTGGAAGGAGGATTGATCCACTGCGTGCTCAATCTGGCCAATAGATGCCTCCATTGTAGTAAGGCGTGCATCGGTGGATGTCTCGAGGTCCGTGATTCGGGCATCATAGGCGTTCATTCGAGCATCTAAGCGATTAAAACGGGCAAACACGGCATGCTCGATCTGGTGCAGCTATCCTCGGATAGAATGAGTCAGAGGAGGCTAAGGAGGCTGCTCTCCTTCACCCACAGCAGCAACATTAGCATCCAACTCATCTTCTTCTTCCATGGGGTCATCACCTGCACCCGAACCACCCACCCTAGACGAAGCCCCTTTAACATGGGCTTGACTCTGAGATACCGTCCTTTTGGTGACGAGTTTGATAGGGCGCGCATACTCATCATCCGAAGAGGATAAGACACCAAGAGGAGTAAGGAAACGGTTTAGTAGACAACCATAGGGAAGACCTAAAGATTTCTTGCCCGCAAACACAGATATCATTTCGGCCACAATCATTTCGGGCATATTTATGGGAAGACGACGGCCAATGCAATAGAGAACATATCCCTGATCTTGGGAAATGTTATAGCTGTAAGTGGTGACGTGGATGTTTGCACAAATAATGATATTAAGGAGGCGAAAATGAGGGATGAGTTCATTTTGCCGAATGAGTGCCCCAGCAACCCATGTTTAGGGGGTGCCACATAGTTCAGTGGTAAGCAGGTCAAAGTTGGCAATACGGGGGCTAAGAAATGGAAAGTGACAGGTGTGGACTTTGGAAATGTGAAGAAGAGACCTAATGACGTCCTGATTAATGGAAATTTCTTTATAGCGATCCCGGTTTTTCCTTCCTTTATTTATTGTATTCCGGACTAGGTTCCGTGGTTGTGTTGTTGTCTCATTCTCATTTCCATCCTTTACTCTTTATATTTGAGTCTTGTGTTGTGTTGGGCAAGTTTGAAACAGGTTGGTTGTGCTTTGAAATCAAAAGTTGATGCCCAGAATTTGGCCTTCGCGCTCGAGCGGGGCTTTTGACGCTCAAGCGGGCCCTTTGTTGTTGCTTCTCCACTCGAGCGGGAGTTTTGACGCTCGAGCATGAATTTCCATCTCCTAGTATTTTTCTCTGCAAGTCTTCATACGCTCGAGCGAGAGTTTTGACGCTCGAGCGCGACCCTTTGATTTTGTTCCTCCGCTCGAGCGGGGAGTTGACGCTCGAGCGGGGACTATGTCTGCAAAACTTCTGCAGGTGTGCAATCGACGTTCGAGCGGCGCTTTTCACGCTCGAGTGTGAGGCTGTGTCTGACGCTTGAGCAGGGAGTTCCACGCTCGAGCGGGGCGACTTTTATATCAGTCCGAGTTTTGACTTTTTGGATTACTTTTCAATATCCTTTCTCTCTCTTACTTTTCGAAAACCACCATTGGAGAGCTTCTCTCTCTAAAACCTTACTTTCTCTCTAAGAAATCATCTAGCCCTAGTGATCTCTCACCTTTGGGCCTTTGTAAAAAGTGTTGATCTTGGTGTGGGCGATCTTTTGATCCGAAAATCTTGGGATTTGGAGCACTTTGAGTTTTCATCATCTTTTCCGTTGAGCTCTGAAATTTGAGGTAGGGATAACTACTCATTTTTATGATCTTTGACATAAGTATTTAGTCATTTTGATTTAATGTTGAAGTTGGGTGATTTTGGGTGTTAGGGTTTCTAAATGTACAAAGAGGGGTTTTGTTATTTTGGCTCATAAATGTATATTTTGGGTCTTAAAATGATAGTATTGATATTATTGAAGTTATTTTCGGCCTTTGGGTCAATATTGAGAAAAGGGAAAAAAAGCCCTAAATTGTTATGACCAATTAATCCATGTAATTAATTTGGGAAATTATACGAACATGAAATTAAGTTGGAATCCATGGAATTGGCATAATATGAGATGGAATAGTGGAGTTGGATTTATTAATCACTC